AATGTCGTTGTCTTACCCTTCAGATAGAACAGGAAACAGATCAGAAACACGATCTTGATTCACAAAAGAGCAGACAGAATACTCCTACATTTTAGAAACTAGCAAATTTACTCAGTTCACTGCAGCTCACGTAACATTAGAGGTCAGAGAGAATTTCCACGGCTCTTAATGGCATTTTTTTCACTCTTTATAATATCAAACTGACTTCCTAGATGTCAACATGGACTTTATATCTGACTACTTTGTGGACAACTAATGTAAAGAAGCAATATAGACTCAATTACTACCTCTTCTGAACATAACTTCAACAATAAGCTTTCAGATTACTTATTACCATGACTTGGGTCAGCATTTATCAGATATCAAAATATGTATGTGTTTTTAACTCTCAGCACCCATATAAGGTGGACTTTCTCTTCCAGTGTACCATTTAGTTTAGACATGTATAGTTTGAGAAAATGATTAGACCTACCTGCGTTTTTAATTTGATCCATACATTTGCATATAACCCAAGGGAAGCATAACCCCTGCCTGCTCACAAAAATACCTCCTGCTTTTATACCCCATCTTTCCCTCCTGCCCTGTCCCTCTGCTAATACCACTTTCGCACTGAACCTCATATACATACACTCACATTCAAACATCCCACCCTCACCTGTAGCTCCCAAGATGGCCAGCGTCAGGAAGACAGGTAAGATGATTTTGAATGTTATTTGGAATCTTGGCTCACCTGCAGTCCTATTTCTCTTTTCCTCAGGCTTGTGGGCAGATTATAATTTGTATTAGCCGTGGAACCAAAACACAATGACTTTGGTCCCTTATGGGGTAGGGCTTATATACCTAAATGGACTTAGCATTTTGCAGCCGTAATTTGTGAAATGGTACTCCGGAAGAGTTGATTCACCTCCCTGGGTAAGCTGAGTAGTTTACGTGGGTCCCAGAGAAGAGTTCACATTTCTTAAAACCAGCCCCCAGGTCTGCCCAGAAGCTGCATGACTAAATGTAATTTGGATGGGGAAATGCTTCAGCTCCCCCGGGTGCACGTGCAAAGCTGCAAGGGCAATTGTAGAGGGTTCCTTTATCTCCTCTTGTACTATGAGATGTTGGTCCTACAGTGGACAGTCATAGGAGGAATTCCTTATTAAAAATCCATATTTATGTTTAAAGGCTAGATATAATTCAGAGGAGGGTTACAAGTTAACTGTCATTTGGGGGTTACTAAGGGTTATGCCTGTAAGACTTGGAAATCAACATAGAATTTTTGTGGAAGTGGTGAATAATTGAGGTATCCCAGGGCTTGCAACGCAATGATTCTAACGCAACAGAGTGAATTTCATCCACTGTCTGTCCACACCAAGCCTCATGTAGGAGGCACAGAGCACCCACACCTTGGCTTATGCTCTGCCAGCCCTATGGTTAAGCTCAGGTCTGCTTCATCTGCCGCCAGGTCATTCAGGGCTACCTCTCCTGCCAAAACCACCAATGAGGGCAAAGGTCACTTTATTAGTCACCCACGGGGTGTGGGGTTTGCGGCATCCTTATCAAAATGCAATGTGGGGACTTTGCAGAAAACTGGTCCGAAATACTGCCCAGCATTTAAAAAAAAAAAAAAAATTGTATCCATATCACTATGAAGAGCAAAGCAAATGCCAAAAGATTTTGAGCGATCGGAGTGCCTCACTTGGGCTCCCTTAGCCAGTTCTCATAGGACAGCATTTGCTCAAATTGTGGTCAATATATATTCAGATCATCACAAAGGAGCAGGTGAGGTCAGAGTGAGAGCATTATCTTCTCATACCTAGATCCTGGGGGCAGTTCTGTTGGTGACAGTGCTTTACAAGCTCTTAGACGGTTTCCTTACTATTGGGTATTATCCACTGGATTCCTCACTTCATCAGCGGTTTGTGAGTTCTCTTCCATGATCTTGTGGATATGCAGTAACTCTGGAAAGAAACTAATGATAATAACTGTCTGAGTGCCTGCATTGTTCCTTTATTTCTCACAACATCATGAGATGTAGGCATTCTTATTCCCTTTCTATGAAGCAAAAGAGTAACTCGAGATAGCACAGCCAGTAAGTGTCAGAACCTGAATTACGAGCCTGGCTCTGACTCCAAAATCTCTTCTTTTTCCATCCGACTACTATAAAATTTGCACATGAGCACAGCCGAGTGAATAGGTGGTAGGCGTGTGTCCCACGTGTGTGACTGGCCTGGTTTTTGCCTGTTCTGGGGGACAGAAGTGAGATTGGCCTTGCCTATCTACAGAAGGCAAACCCAGGAGGTCTGATGCAGCCCCAAGACACACTACAATCCATTGGCACAGGACGTCCCTTCACTGTGTAATTCTAAATGGCACCCACTATGGTTATTACGGTTTTTAAAAACGCAGTAATGATAACGGTTAGCATTTGTCCAAAATTTACTTTGTAAATGAATGAGCTGGGCTGGTGCCTGGTTTTCAGTGGAAGCCAGATTGGAACCACCAACCAAGTAGCCAAGGTCAGAAAAGAGCCTGGAGGTGGTTTTGAAGAAATGTCTTTCGTAGACATTTGTGAAATATGAAGTTTGTTTTCCCTAAACTGATTTACCCTGCCTTGTTCTCTACTCTTATTTTGACGCCTGCTCTGGTGCTGCCCATCCCCCCAAGATATTCCCTTGATACTGTCACACACTACCCAACCTCACACCTGATGCCTCTTGCTCCTCCTAAACTGTGCTGCTTGGTTTCTCTTCCCATTAGGATCCAAAGTGTCAGTTAAACTAGTGTGTTAGTGTGAGAAGTAGTAAATGTGCAGTTTCTGTGGGGTTCTGGAGGACACCACTATGTTTGTTTTTAAAAAACTCATTGGCTTTGGCCAGGGAAAGCTATTTGAGGGGAAGACTGGACTTCCAGCACCTTCACTGGAATGGCCCTGTATGTATACAAAGCTGGTCACTTGGACCCATGGCCGAGTGAATGGCTGGCATGACTTTGAAGCTATAAGCCAATAATACCTCATCCTATGGACACCCACACACACTGCAGAGAATGAAAAAGAGGACTCAGTTTGTATGATCCCCTAAAGTAAACAAGATTTAGCTGTTTGCGTACCTGACTCGTTTTTCTGAACATGGATATCTTATCAGTAGTGATTAGGCTAAAATCCAAACCCAGGTTAATATCCCTAGTTTTAGAAAGATATATTTAAATCTTTACATACAAAAGTATGTGCTCATTCTACACATACTGAATTTGTTTCCTAAAGATCATCGTCCTATTTGAAATGTCTTCCTAAAATGGAAAATAATCATGAATTTCTGAATTAGAAAAAGATGTGGTAGTACATTGCTTTAATAGTACTTTAAAAAAAATAGTACTTTAGAGGATTTGAAGTACTTACATTCTAAGTTCCAACCATCTCCTCCGCGATGGATAGCATTAATACAGCAGAGGTCAAACAGCTGCAATATTGGGACAGTTCACATTAAGGAGTGAACATTTCTGGACATTTTCCAGAAACAGAGGAAACATTAGGAATTACAGATTTAAAGTAAACTGAATCACTCTTGAGTCTTAAAACTGAGCCAAATCTCAGGGTTTGTAGGAAAAACTATTTTCAAATCTTAGCTTGAATTTAGTGTCCATAAAATAGAAACTGATTTGAAAACTACAGCAGAACCAGAGCAAAGAATGATATATGGATAGGAACGGAAATTTAAAATCAGGGAGAAAAGGACATCTTCATTTGGTGCAGGCAGTACAGTAACTAGATCTCCCCCCTACAGAAGGCTACCACACCACAAGCAGTCGCAGGCTGAGTCAGTCACTTACAGCAGATGCAACGCACCCCACTGAAATAAGTACCTGTGCTTCAGCATGGCGGTGCCACCAGTTCAGTGATGTGGTCATTACCGCCTTGCACCAGGAATTGAGGGGTCATGGATGTGTAGTGGTGACATTTGTGAATGGGTAGCTACTGCCGAATTATCATGTTTATTTTTCACTGACACAGTGTGAATCGAGGCTTTTCACTCTCAGCTGTTTTTTTTTCACTTTAAAGACAAAATAGCAGATATGGTCTCTTCCAGTGCGCTCTGCTTAGTCACAAATATTACCACTGTGCATGCAGAATCAAACAAGAACAGCATAATGTACCAAGAGCTTATGCAGATCTTTCATATGGAATATCTCCATGATGAGAACACATTATCCAAATAGGAAGAGTTTTTGTTGTTGTGTTTGGTTTTAGTTTTAGTAAAATTCCAGTCATTAAAGTGTTGCCACCTTATTGACATGACAAGTATACCCTACATGAGTTACCAAGGTCTATGTCTATGGCTTAGAATCCTCCCCTATACAGAAATGATGATTGTAGGGACTAATCAGACCATTTTTGTATGTTCTCATCAGACTCTTTGTTTGGCTGGAACTCTGCACTCCTTACCGCTTGCATGTTTACTAATGTGTTATTAAAACCCTCGTATTTGCCTTTGTTCTTTCACGACTAACACACTGGCCTCTGAATGCATGAGTTTTGTGTAAACTGGTGTGTGACTTAGTAACTAATAAATGTATCAGTTGTACTTTCAGATCTTAAAACTATAATTGGAATTACTGCACTAAAAACATTTTTTACATTAAGTGATAAAAATAAGGTAGACTATTAATATATCGTACACTTAATTTACCACTATGAGCTCTTAGAGTATTTTTTGATCCCTTCTTCATTTTAGCTTTTTAAAAATCTATTCTATAAAAAACCTCATTAGTGGCTTTCTAGCTGAAAAGTATTCTGTGTACTAATATTTAAACAATCCATTGCAGTTTTGAAGTTAGGAAGATAAAATTCTAGCATTCTAGTGTTGTGAATGACAGAGTATGTCCCAGTAGTTAAACCTTTGCAGTAGTGGCCTATGAAAGTAGAAATCAGAGGGTTCTTTCTGAACCCATTTTTCAGATACTTGAAAAGATATTAGGCAATCACATAATATGTATTTCATGTGTTCTCAACGTCTCAGGACTTTATCTCCTGCCAAGTCTCCTTCTTCGTCAACTGGGTCTATTGCCTCCAGCAGAAAATACCCTTATCCAATGCCTCCCCTTCCTGATGAGGAGAAGAAAGTGAACCGACAAAGTGCCAGGGTATGTGGGAACTTCTTCCATATGCTAACATCCTCAGTCATGATCGTTTATCTGTGAGTTGATGTTTTAAAAGAGAGAGCCATTTTTCCTTTTTTTGTTCATAAGAACATGAGAAAAATTGAGTTTGGAAAATAGTAGATTCTTGGGGCTTTTGGGCCCAGATTTGTATTGGCAAATTTGTTTAATTATTGATGAATTCTAGAGATATTTGGCTTATATTAATTATTCACTGCTATATATTTACATCTTTTATTATTCATTGCAGCTACTATATTACAACCTGGAAGAGACAAAACAGAGAGTGTATTTTGCTTTATCAGTTTTTACATATACCTTGAAATGCCAGAGATTAAGTAAACCAGCCTCATTTCCATGCCCAGTTTGCTAACTCAGGCCTTTTGTTGGCTAATAACACCGAGTAGGATTTAAAAAATAGGAACCTATGACAGAAAGTCAGATCAGTGTCTTGGGGATGGGGGTAGAATCTGGATAACTGTACAAGGAAAGGAACCTTGAAAATCTGTAATATTAAGAGTATGGCGGGGGCTTTCCTGGTGGCGCAGTGGTTGAGAGTCCGCCTGCCGATGCAGGGGACACGGGTTCGTGCCCCGGTCCGGATAGGCCCGTGAGCCATGGCCGCTGGGCCTGCGCGTCCGGAGCCTGTGCTCCGCAACGGGAGAGGCCACATCAGTGAGAGGCCCGCCTACCGCAAAAAAAAACACAAAAAAACAAAACAAAAAAAAAGAGTATGGCCAAGGGTATGGTGAAATTTAGCAACCTTTTATTAAAAAAAAACATTAAAAACATATTTGGAATTTACTATTTTTATAAAAATGATTCATCAGAAGTTTCATGTAAATACTAAGTCCTCCTTTACATTTAAATTATGATTTTATTTAGTCTCACATAATTCCCAGAACACATCCATTATGTGAAATTTGAGATACAGTCGAGTTTAGAGAGGCAGACCAACCCTCAGAAACTTACGTGAAAGATATAACTAAAGAATAATTACCTTTATTGGTGTGCAGGCTCTGTTGTGGTCAGTTACACTATAATTTTGATCTTCTCAGAAACAATGTTGCAAAAAAATAAAGCTTTAAAAGCCTGGACAGATTTATCTGCTAGTGGGTCCTTGGTTCCTAGACCTTTTGGCTTTGAAAGATATTTCAGAGCCTCTTGGACCCTGAACTTACATTATGGGGCCCAAGGTAAACATGGATCATTCAAATTTTAACTTGATCAATTCAGAGTCAGTAAGAAAACATGTGCTGGTTAGATCACTATAATCGAAAAGACTTTAAAAACAATCGGTGGTATTTTATTAACCATACAAAAAATTACCTTCATATATTAATATGGGCAATGGTAAAAGATGGAAAGGAAGACGATAACTCAGATTCCCAGCACTCAGCTTTTGGCCTTAAAAAAAAAAAGACTTGTGAGTAGGCATCCACTTGTTTGTGATATAAGTATGTGGTAATGAAACCTTAGGCTGATGTCATTCCTTCCCTCCCCAGGGAATTGCTAAAGTAGAACACCTCACATTTTCTCCCTGATAAATTGTCTACATTGCTGTTTTGTTCTATCTAACTGGGGACATTCTTTTAACTGTTGTCATGCCAGGGTGCAGGTTTTTGGAGATGTTCCCACATGAGAGCCCATGAAAATGACATCCTCCAGAAGAAATGGCTGGCCCTTGACCTTTTCTCTAGGCTGAGTGGGGCAGCTGTGAAGACTGTAGCCTTGGGGACAGTTGTGTGAAAGGTCTGCTTGGTTCTTGGTTCCCATGAGCAAGTAGCAGAATCCTATAGAATAGGCAGCCCCTGTCTCTGGGCTGTCTTTGTGGTCTGTGGACAATCTAACGAGCAGATCTTTCTATCAGCAAGCCTTCTGTTACAGCTATCCAGACACGGCCAAGGTCATGCCTATTCTTAAAAGCGATGGCTTGGCAATTCTTTGCTCCTTTTTCCTCACTGGGATAATCGTCACCTTCAGATTTCCCCAGTGTCATTCCTTTGTTCCTCTCTTCTTTCTTCGAGCTGTCATTTATTATTTAATCTTCGTAACCGTTTGTGAAGAAACTGGGCTCACTGAAGGTGAAGTCTGGACTCTTAACTACTCTGTATCATCATCTGAGCGTCAATCCAGATCTTCTTTCCCTCAGACGCCCTGCACACCTCCTGCTTAACCATTCATTTTCACTTGTCTCCACCAATAGGTGTCATCCACACACAAAGATCCTCACAGTTGAGAGATTTGGTGTCTTTTTTTAATGAAAAGGACATATAAAGTGGACCTAAAGTAGGTAACAGAATATTTCCATGAAGAGTCAAGAGAACATATTAAGAGAATCTGTAGAGAAACATCCACTTAGTCACTTAGCTATTTCTCCTTTTTTTTTTCCTTAGAAACTCATTGGGTATCATACTATGACTGGCCCCAGATTTCCAGTAAAAATGGGATTTGGTTGGAAATTGGATGCAACCTATGTTACACTAATCTTAGTCTTTCTTTGTTCATGTTCATAATAATTATACCCACATGATATTGCCTGGAAACATATTTTATCAGCTTGATCTTTTTTCTTTTTTTTTAATTGGCGTTCCTTCTCTGGTGAACTGAATTGCACTTATATTTGATCATGCCAAACTTGTATTCAGTCCATTAAGGCAATTACTGAGTATTTTAGAAATTAGATATCAATGGGGCTGGTAAAAAGAAATGGTGGCAGAGGCCAGGAGAGGGAAGAGGTGAGGGAATTACGAAATTGACATCCTGCCCTGGATACATCATTCTACTCTGATATGTCCACTCCTGAGACAGGACAATTGTTTAGCAGATAGTGATGGATTTGGAGAGTGTATAGCCTGACCACAGGCCCAGAGCAATGATTTTTAATTGGGTGGTGGTGGTATTAATGGACTCACACTTTCCTAAGGTCAGTAGTTCTCAGCATTGACTGTACTGAATTGTCTGAAGGACTTTTAAAATATACTGATGCCTGAGTCCCAACCAGAGAGATTCTGATTTAGTTGGTCTGGTGTGCTGTCTAGGCAGTGGGATTTTTAAAACATCCCCAGATCATTGAAATGTACAGCTGGGTTGAGAACCACTGTTCTAGATGGCTGTATCAGAATCCTGGGGAAAATAAGGGTATGTGTAGTTTTAAAAAAATAATATTTTAAATTATTTCATTTGAGACACAATATTTAATTTATTCAAAATTTCAAGTAATATTGGGTGGGCCAAAAAGTTCGTTTGGTTTTTTCCATAAGATGGCTCTAATAGCACTTAGTTGTCTTTAACTGCACTCGAAACAGTTTTGTTGGATTGGATTGTGACAGCTGTCATGTCAGCGTGCATTTAAAAAAAAAACTTATCAAAATTGGTGAATTTTTGTGTAGCCATTTTAATTTTTAAGATGGAAGAGAAAAGCAACATTTCAGCATGTTATGCTTTATTATTTCAAGAAAGGTAAAAATGCAACTGAAAAGCAAAAAAAAGATTTGTGCAGTGTATGGAGAAGGTGCTGTGACTGATCGAACGTGTCAAAAGTGGTTTGTGAAGTTTTGTGCTGGAGATTTCTCACTGGATGATGCTCCACAGTCGGGTAGACCAGTTGAAGTTGATAGCGATCAAATCGAGATATTAATTGAGAACAATCAATGTTATACCACGTGGGAGATAGCCAGCATACTCAAAATATCCAAATCAAGCATTGAAAATCATTTGCACCAGCTTGGTTATTTGAATTGCTTTGACGTTTGGGTTCCCCATAAGCAAAAAAAAAACCTTCTTGACCATATTTACACATGCGATTCTCTACTGAAACGTAATGAAAATGTTCTCTTTTTAAAACAAATTGTGACAGGCGATGCAAAGTGTATACTGTACAATAACATGGAACGGAAGAAAGTGTGGGGCAAGCGAAATGAACCACCACCAACCACACCAAAGGCGGGTCTTCATCCAAAGCATGTGATGTTGCATATATGGTGGGATTGGAAGGGAGTCCTCTATTATGAGCTCCTTCCAGAAAAACTAAATGATTAATTCCCACAGGTACTGCATACAGTTAAACCAACTGAAAGCAGCACTCAACAAAAAGCATCCGGAATTAGTCAACAGAAAACGCATAATCTTCCATCAGGATAACGCAAGACCGCATGCTTCTTTGATGACCAGGCAAAAACTGTTACAGCTTGGCTGGGAAGTTCTGATTCATCTGCCGTATTCACCAGACATTGCACCTTCGGATTTCCATTTATTTCGGTCTTGACAAAATTCTCTTAATGTAAAAAAATTCAGTTCCCTGGAAGACTGTAAAAGGCACCTGGAACAGTTCTTTGCTCAAAAAGATAAAAAGTTTTGGGAAGATGGAATTATGAAGTTGCCTGAAAAATGGCAGAAGGTAGTGGAACAAAAGGGTGAATATATTGTTCAATAAAGTTTTTGGTGAAAATGAAAAACGTGTCTTTTATTTTTACTTTAAAACCGAAGGAACTTTTTGGCCAGCCCAATATTAAATGAGGATGTGAGGGTTTTGTGTATTGAAAGGTGGCCGTTGTTAAAAACGTGGAGACTCAGGTTTAGAGGAAAAAGAGAACTAAAAATTAGAGTGTTTATTTTATCCATTATGAGACTTCGCATCCACAATCACATAAGTATAGATGAAATTACCGAATCTTTTTCATCTTTGTAGCTCAGAATATGTCTGTTTCCTGCTTTCGCAGTGTGAATTTTTGCTTTTCTCTGTTGTGCAGCTATGGGAGACATCCATTTAAGATCAGCTGTTTACATGTGATACATCGAAACTGTTTACTTCAACTTTTATAGAAACTCAGCCTCACTGAATCACTGCAAATCTATCTGCTCTTCAAACAACTCGAAAACATCTCTGAATGCCACAGAGGAGAGGAAGCCGAGACTCACATCTGGATACCATTTTCTTTTTGTCATTGGCTTCATATTTAATTGAACCATGAAAAGAACTACTAAAATGTTACACTATAACATGGAACAACTAAGGTACTGGTATGTTAATGGATAATCCGCATGACAGATACATGTAGAAATATCACTGAAATTAACTCACATGACCCAAATGTAGCAAGTTTCCTAAGGGACAATAATGGATTCAGAACTCGACATTCTGAAGCACATCCTCATTGTAGACAGTAATGCTATGTGCATGAGGCTTCTGTTTATTGTTTTCCACATTTAAGGAAACAACATCCCATAATAGAAACTAGCATGCTGGGCTAAGGCATATAGGATTTCTTCTGCAGGACTTTAAAGCTTGAGAGGCCAATATCCCATATGCTAACTGTAAACATGTATTTTTCTTTTTTTTTCTTTTTTTTTTACTTTTCATATTTATATCAGCATACAAGGACAATTGTACATATGTAAACATTTTTAAAATTTAAAAAAAAAGCAGCTGTTACACACAAGTGTATTTTGCCAGATGCCTAAAAACAATCAGTCACAATCACGTCATCATCGTCCATCGAATGGTCTTTCAAGATTATGACCGGATGATGTTGTAAATATAGTGGTCAGGGCTGTATGTGTGTCTCCCCATAACTGGTATTTGTCCAAACCATGTGCTATCCCTTTAAAGTGTGCACAGTCTAGAGGCAGTTTTACTGAGTAATTAATTGAACAAGAGAACGAAATGTCCCACAGAACTTAGGGCCTCCACAGCTTGCTTACTGCCTCAAGGCGCTCTGCTAGCAGCTGGCTGCTCCCTGGGAATCCTCCAGCCTGTCCATCTTCCTTCTGGGGGCTACAGCGCCTGCCTCAGTGGCTATTCTTTTTCGGTGCCAGAGCACATCTGCTAGTCTCACCTGGGGGGTCCTGTGAGCCCCACAGCAGTGTGTCCTGCTGAGTTAAACAAATGCACCAAAGACACAGGAGGCCACAGCTGCTGATGCATTGGTAGCTTCCAACTTGCCAGTACTCTAACCTTTTGTGGCCTAAACTTTTGTTCTTTAACAAAGCTTTTTAGCCACCCTTCTCTGTGACATGAATGACGTGTTTTAATGAAAACAACTTTCACACTGTTTATTGAGGGTATTTATCATCGGTGGGACGTGAGTCCCAGCAGGTCATTCTGCACTGATTTGTAAGTAAGATATGGAAGGTTCTACCAGCTGGGCTGGGAAGCCTCAACAGGTCGCAGAGGGTTCAAAGAAACCTAAAACCCCAAGGGTGCAGCAACTGTGAAGTTATCCAAACAGCCGGCAAGGGGTAGAATCTGATGTTCTGAACTCTCTACGTTTTTAATCCATAGAAAAGTGAGAAATCTATGTTAAATCCCCTTCTTTAAAACCAAAGTTCGATAGCTGTCATCATGCAGCTCTGCCATTCTCAAAGAAAACTTCTCTTGGGAGGCGACCCTAAGTGAGCTCCAAAATTAATGGGATCAATCAGATGCTCTGATGTAAAGAGTACTTCTGAATTTTCTAATTTTCTCTCCTTTTTCTTGAGAGGAATGGAATCTGCAGATAAGGTTTCAGAAATATCCTCTAAATTTGATCTCTGCCAGTAGTGTCCGAGAACAAAACCCATTTCATCTCCGTGTGTAATCATCTTGGAGGCCCAAACTAAAGGGCCCATTAGAAGGCAGTGTTTTCTCCTCTATGTGTCTATGTCTTCCGTAACGGACCTCTCTTCTGAAAGTCTTTGAAAACATTTGAAAAGCAGTTTAATTATCCAAAATGATAAAGTATAAACAGCAGTTTTCATGACAGGAAGGGATGTGATTGTCGAGACTATGATAAAATGATCCATCAGTCTCAAGTTGGGTGATGTTGCCATGTAGCCCAAGCCAAGGACAGGAGGGCAGACAGATTTAAAGATGTAGCAAATAAAGTGGCTTTTGACCAAGATCACTTTAATGTGCACTGAATGTTTTCTGATATTGAGTGTATAAAAGGCTAATGTTAGAAGGTTTATTTTGACTATAAAAGAGTTCTAGATTTGAATTTAAGACACCTTATGTAAATATGCTTCCTAGTTATGGTTACACATCCCTCATTTGAAAGAATCCACAAATGATTAGCTATGTAGTCAATGGATCCCTTCACCCTTCTGTCTTTCCTCACCTTCTGAATTATTTTTACATGAAGATTATTATTTCAAGTGAAAAAATCATTATTTGTGCCTTTTGGGAGACATGGTTGCTCTAGAGGTATACAGTTTATAGTCATCCTCCTCGATAATAAACTTCACATAGAACTGAATGAAAAGTGCTTTATTTGCAGAGAGACTATGATTTGTGGGCTCTCCCGTTGCGGAGCACAGGCTCCGGATGCGCAGGCTCAGCGGCCATGGCTCACGGGCCCAGCCGCTCCGCGGCCTGTGGGATCTTCCCAGACCGGGGCACGAACCCGTGTCCTCTGCATCAGCAGGCGGACCCTCAACCACTGCGCCACCAGGGAAGCCCTGAGAGACTATGATTTTATAGTACCTTTGATGTTCTATTCTAGATATCTACTCTATCTAGGAATGTGTAAACATTCTTACAGCCATTTGCCGCATTCTTTGACAAGTTTATAATTTCAGTGGCTAGTTGTGAGAAGTACCTATATGTGAACTCATGGTTGGTGTTCTAGATGTATTTCTAAATATCTATGACTTTTCATCCACTGAAGCAGGGAGAATGGACCCATGGCACTAAACGCAAGCACAGCATTATTATTATTATTAATTTTTTTTGAGTATCTATTTTGGAGAGCAACTTTGAGGCCACATAGCAGTTTGTATCATGAAACTAATATTTATAGCCCCCAGTCAACTATATGACTGTTATACTAAGCAGAGAAGAGCAGCTTTTTGGCCTTTGTGTTCCATTGTATGCCTTTTTCCTCTCTTTCTGAAGTTTTGTGCGTAGATTAGACTTCAGATTGACAACTCTGCAGCCTGAGATGTTCCATTTATCCATATTTGTTACAGTATAGTAAACCCTGATTTAAAGCAACACATATCTCTCCCCTAAGAGTGTCAGCAAAGGAGGTGTGGGAAACATGGAGCTATAAAGGAGCTGACTGGTCAGATTAACTGGTCTCTGTGTCCAGCCCCTCATTCTTTAGACAGGAAGTGGCACCCTCCTCTGGGGTCTCCCAGCTAGAAAGTGGCCCCCAGGCCACATGCAATCGGTGGAAAGGAATAAACTCCTCAAACAGTGCAGCATCAGGAGGCCTTTCAATTTGTGGTTGCTGTATTTTTTTAAAGATACCCAGTGCTTTTCCTTAAAATAAAATGTTGACTAATAAAGTAAATGCCAAAGCTATTTTCCAGGTTGATATATAGGTGCTTTATTAAATGATACTACAGTTTCACTCCCCTGCCCACCTCCACCCCCCTCCTTGCTTTAAAAAGGCTTTTAAAATTGTGTTACTGCGTAAAGTCAATCCAGCATAGATTTCTGAACATAAGATTGATAGGGTTTCTAAAAGAAGTTGCTGAAAAGATAAAATCAGGTATTCTGTGCACTTCCACAGAAGGACTATTTATGTTTGAACTCCCAAACAGTCTTAACATTTCTCTATTTTTTCTGTTGATCCCCTTGCAGATTTGCATAATTTAATCCCCTCTGTTGTCTCAGATCTTTTTGTGTCTGCTTTACCTTTTACCTTCTTAGGTTTTCTTTAATTTTTATAGTTACCTATGGGCTAGAGGAAATATGGTATTTCTGTTCACTTTCAGTGTTTCAAAATTGTTCATTTATTAATCTCATCCATTCTTCATTTCCTACTGTCTGTAGTTCTATTTTAACATATATATTTAGCGCTTTAAATATTTCCTTGTGTTATTCGACATGATAATAAATCCTTACGTAAAGAGAAGACTATTTTATTTTACTTTATTTTACTTAAAAAGGGAATATACTGGAACTTACCGAGTAGCTTGCCGAGTGTATGGGAAGGGGAGCTGAATAAAGGCAGTGAGGGAAGGAAAGGGAAGCAGGCCTGCTGCCCCCGCAGCCTGATAGAACACCGCCCCCTGCTACCAGGACGCCCCCTATGGGCAGCATTTTTTTTTTTTTTTTTTGGCCAAGCCGCATGTGGGATCTTAAATTCCCCCACGAGAGATCAAACCTGTTCCCCCTGCAGTGGAAGCGCAGCGTCTTAATCACTGGACCGCCAGGGAAGTCCCTGGGCAGCATATTTTAAGTACAATCGTACCAGTTGGTAAGTTGACATGAATTTTACATGAAACGTTCTGACTCCCATTTGTAGCATAATGTCTACTTTTTTATGCTTCTAATTATTTTTTTCTATCCCGTCTATGTTTCCTCTAAAACTGACACTCAAATACTTCTTTTCTTAAATTGAGTCAAGATGAATTTCTCATTCTATTAGCTTAAAATATATACGAAGCAAACATAGGGCTTAATTGGAGGCTCAAACTTTGAATTTTTCTCCTCTGAGATATTTTCTGAAGGGCTAAGACTTCTGATTTCGGAGGCAGCAACTCTCCTCCAGCCTGGGAGAGCTAAGAACTTTCCTAAACAGCTTCCCCTGTTTATTGGACCCTGAGGAGCCCAGCCTGCTCTTGTGAAAATCAGCTGAGAGGGAGCAGCCTATCTGGCTCTGGGTGTGTGCTGGGGTCTGGGCGTGGGGGTCGGAGCAGCCACACCTGCTGGGAACCTTCGGGGCATGCTCCTAGCCTCTGCTCTGTGGGCAGGTGCTCTTAATTCCAAGAGGAATTTTCCACCCCACCTGCAGATGCGGAGCAAACAAAGATGGAGCCGGCTCTTAGAAATCAGGAGTATTTCTTCTTTGTCAGAGTCCCCCAAATGGGGCATCTTATGGTTCAGTTTGTAGGTAGAAAGACAAAACATTCGGAAACAACAAAAACCTGCCTAGTGTTTTTGTCCTTTATATCCATAGCCTGACAAACAGTAAGCATTCTCACTGTGGGTTTGAGAGATGCTTCCAGACCCTTCCTACTTCCAGAGTCGCTCTCTCTTCAGTAGCTGGCAGACCTTTTCTCCTGACTAGGAACTTTCACTGTCATGGAGGTAAGTCACTTATTCGCCTGAACTGGCACTCGGGGAACCATTGGGGCGTGGAATTAGGGGAGAGAGGCACTTTTAGCCTTCCGTTGGCATCTGGGCGTGGATTATGCAACTTGGGAAGTCACTGAGAGATTGGTTGTCAGGGTGTGTTTCAGGCTGGAGGGGAGATAAGAAACAGCAAGGCTTGGGAGGTCATGGGGCATTTAGCCCTGGATAAGAGCAGAATGGAGAGGCGCAGGGAGAGCTCAGAAGCCAAGACAGTGGAAGAGCACAGGTCGGCCACTGGTGGTATGATAGGGAGAGGTGCTGCGTGCCTAGGGCAGACCTGTGTGCTTTGCAGTTTTACTGAGTGTTGGCTGTGTAAAGCCTCATTGTCTAGTCATAATGGGCCAATGCCTGGTGTGGCTGTCCCTGTTGCATCGTTCATAGAACCTGTATTGTACCTGGAGGTGCTTCAAGGCTGACAGAGGTTTGGCTTAAGGACATCATCATTTCATGCTTTTAGGTGTCCCTGAAATCAAAACCAGGGAAAAAGTGTTTTTTTTTTCTTTTCTGTTTTTCGTTTTTTACAAAAAGGCATACAATGAGTCTAGCAATGTTGAGATAATGTGCTTAACAAATTCATCAATACTGCTTTTGAAGAGTTATGAGTTTTTGAAGAAACGCGCGTTTTCCTCTCGTTAAAAAATACATATGCATACAATACTGTACTATACTATGATACGTTTACTTTAGGGCTTAGTCTCTCGTTTTATGAAGTTTCAGATGTGGATTTGTGTTTTGATGGTCAAGCTCTTAAAAAATGCAAAGAGCCCCCAAATCTTTAAACACAGTGGTGCTAAGTTACACTAGATAACACAATACAGAAAGTGCTGATAGGAATTAATACATTTATTCAGTAATAATACAAGAGTTCTTGCTAAATTATACGTGTGTATCACTGCCTGATGAGAATCCCCACTTTTCTAATCCAGTACAAAATCAAACTGTGATTCTACAGCCAGTCTTTTTAATGGGTAAAAATGACCCAACATCTTTGTTTTGTATGGAAAACTTTTTTTTTTTAACACTAACTTCAGAGATGCTTAGCAAAGGTTTATTCAGAATAATAAGCACGTGCTCCTTTTTTAACTTGCTGGAAGAGGCTTGCCTCTCCAATTTAGCATCACAAAAAGACAACTTCTTTTAAAAACTGAGCGTTTTTACCTAAACATAGCAGTTCGTATGTTAGCCAGTGTAGGTCTGCACTGGTGTTTTCCACATCTATCATCTTCAAGGGGTGATGTCCCATCTACAGCTAGTGGAAGACACTGCGTGGGGAAGTGTTAATGGCGGCACCGTTTCACTTTCGGTAACCAGGTAATCAGGTGTATATAGTTTGGCTTCATTTTAACATTATATTCTCTCGGCTACTCTGCACTTCGGGTTCTTAAGCTACTTTAAACATTATTACCGGGTTTTGGCAAGCAGCAACTGAAATATATGGCGACTGCCTTCCAGATCAAGTGCAATTTGTTTCATGGCTGTTCGAGTTATAAAGTTGTTATATGTAGGTAAACAAAATCTTGCTGTTTTTAAAGGTCACTGTAACTTAAGGTTCAGATTTCTGGCACAATTTTATTAGTATTCACTTCTGAAGCTAATAAGGTACCACGCTTTTCTATGTTACTCTCATTGTAACATCAATAAAGTGACTTTCAGTAAAAGATTTATGTTATTTTGATGCGTGACTCTCTTTAATCCTGCTTTTCTCCCAGTCACTCTTTCTCTTTCAGAAGCTCTGTGGGCATGCTGCTGGGGGTTCTTTCTTTTCTGTTCCACGCGGTTCTAGAATGGACCATCGGCATGGGGAGAAATACCATGATCTTTAGTGAAGCCTGAATGTTTACTTTGTTGGACAATTGCCCCAGCTGGGTGGCATATGGAGTCTTCTCTATCCACCTGCCTTATTTCATGAACACTTTCTCCCTCACCCTAATAAGGATCAATTTACTATAGTCTGTCCTAGAGCCCAGGCAGTGGTGCTTATTTAATGAGTTCACTTGTGTCAGACTGTAAAGCATTGCTCCTTGGATGGGCTAAGTTTGGGTCCATGAATTCACTGCCTAAAGAATTTTTCCACCCGGCCTTTTCATCATCTCCCCAGCAGCCCTTTCATCTACCAGTCTTTACCCTGGCACTTGGAATTTCCTTGCCTTCAGCTCCTAGTCTGCTGAGGAA